CAGCACTTCCAAGCTGCTATAATGCTATATGAGCACGTGAGCTGGCTCAAACTATGAGAAATAGAGCATCACAAACCCATCCTTTGACATTAAATATAAATATTAAGCCGCAGAATGTGGTGTTATTAGATTAGGGTTAGGGTCTCTATCCAGAGCTTCTACACTAGTTGCGACGATCCGTTCGGGATTGAGGTCACTAGTAACGGTATCATGCGCGGAGTCCACGTTTGCCATACTAATTATGGGTGACCATAAGGTCTAGTGAGTGCAGAGTCCACATTAATTCCCATCCACTCTGGAGTCCATGGGTCCCCACTGTCCTGCCTTAGCAGAGTCTATATCTTACTCCTAGAGTCCATGTTTCCCCCTAAACTTTTTTTTTTTTTTATCTATTTTTCTTTTCCCCTCCGCTGACTCTCCCTGAGCCACCAATCATCATGTAGTGGAGGTTTAATTTTAATTAAGTCTTAATACTATTACTATTACTATATATATGTGTGTTAGAGTTAAATATCTATAAGAGGTTTTGCAGTTATCTATAATTCATAATTTATAATTTATAATAATAGTTAATTAACTTCTTATCCTAGTAATCTATCCTATATTAAATTACATTCTATTCTCTAGTATAGTTTACTTTCTAGTTATTTATCTTATCTCTCTCCAGAGAGTTAATCCTCCTAAAGTTAAGTTATAGTATGCCCTTAAAATTATATCTCTAATTAAGGGGGATAGTAGCTAAAGTAATTATAGATGCCTCTCTCTTATAGCCTAGTATCCTACAGTTACGCCTTGGGTAAAGCCATCCATTAAGTTAATCCACTATCTACTCCTACGCAGAATATAATAATTAAGTATTTAAGTATGATTAGGATCATCACAGTAGAGGAAGAACCTAGCTAATTAAATTATAAGGTATGCAAGGTATGATATAGTTAAGGGGGATCTTGCTTATATTTTATTTAAAGCTAGTGCTTCTACTACAGAGGGAGAGTATAGGAATATATATTTCTAAAGATTAATATTATTAATAAATTTTTATTCTGTGACCCCCCACTATAGGGTGTATAAGTTAGCTATTTAAGGGCTGGTGGCAAATATTTCCTTATAATAAATCAGGCTCTGCCTATAAAAGCAAAGATCTATCTAAAGAGAGAGAAATAAGAAATAATAAACTAGGGTATTTATACTATATTCTAAAAATCATCACCACCTATCTCCTCATTATTTATATATACTTATTAATAATTAAAGCCCTGAGGCTAATAGCACCAAGAGAAAGAAAGAAAAAGGCTAGTAGTTAGTCTGTAAAGCCTCATAGTTATAAGGTAGTTAAGTAATAAAGAATATAGTAGATAAAGGCTATATAAAAAGGCTGCCAAGGCTCCTATAATAATAGTGTAGTCAATAAAGATAAAAGGGGGGTGAGAAAAAAAGCTATATAGAAGGGCCCTAATACTCTTATCCATGGTAGGGTAGTGGTAGTGTAGTTACTAAAGATAAAACAGGGGTGAGAAGAAAGCTATATAGAAGGCCCCTAATGCTCCTATAGTATAGTAGTATAGTTAAAACTAGGGGTGAGAAAAAAAGCTATATAGAAGGCCCCTGATGCCTCCCATCTAAGGTGGTAGTGTGTAGTATAGTTAACTGATAAAGATAAAACCAGGGGTAAGAAAAAAGCTATATAGAAGGCCCCTAATGCTCCCATGGTGATAGTATTATTAACTAATAAAGATAAAATAGGGTAAAAAGCTATATAGAGTGATTTATAGCCCTTTTAGCCCTAGCTAAAAAGTAAGGGCTGCGCCCCTGATTAGAACTTATACTAAGCAGGCTTTTGCTAGCGCCTGGGGTGCTTAGCTGCTGCTATTAGTACTATAGTATTATTAGTCCTGGCTAGGGAGAGTAGTGCATAGGTAGAAAGTAAAGAGAAAGAGAGAAGAGAACTTACTAGATAGTGCCTTATATTTCTATTAAGTCCCCTACTAACCCTGCTAGCTAGGCAGTGGTGTAGTAACTTAGGGAGGTATTCTAGGGCTAGACTAGCTAGGAGGAGTATTAGTCTAGTAGAGGGAAGGTAATAGGTGGTAGAGCCTATTTAGACTACTAGGGGAGCTTAGCAGGGAGCTTAGTAGTGATATCTCTCTAGATAATACTAGTAGATTTAGATTTAACTAGCTTAGTAGTAGTATACTTAGAATAACCCCCCAGCTTATCTAAAGCAGAGATCTTAGTTATATTGCCTGACCCTAGAAATCCACTATTAGAGCCTAAATCTATATAAAGAGGGAAGGGTTTAAAGGGGTATACTAGGTCTAACTATAATAATATCTCTATCTCCTTATCTTAGGCAGTGACTTAGACCTCCTTTAAGTATCTTAGTGTAGCTTTATATTCCTCTAGGCTTAGGTCCACCCATGCTAGATAATAACCACTACTACTAGGGCTATCACCATTATTATTATTATTATGCTTATCACTACTATTATTATTACTTAAGTCAGGCTAACCACCCCTACTACTAGGGCTGTTACCATCATCATCATTATTATTATTATTATTATCATTAGGATAGCAGGAGTAATTATACTTAGAAGAATTAGACCTACTTTAGCTTCCACTATCATCCTCCTCACTATCAGACTATATATATTTATCTAACTTAAACTATCCTAACTATCAGCCTCAAGCCCAGAGATAGACTAGAATTTTTAGTCCTGACTAAGTACCTGTTAGTCTTAGCTATAACTAAAAAGCACCTAAAGAGAGGGGAGGATGGTAGGTAGAGGAGAGAATAGGAGTACTTTACCTTAGTAGCTGCTATAGCCTTATTATACCTTTACTAGGCAGGGCCCTTACTTAGTAAGGCCTGCCTAATCCTTTCCTAGGTGTGGTCTTTAGGAGTTAACTTTACCTATATATAGTTAATATCTTGCTATGGGAGACCAAGGTCACCTAGGTTATTAATACTAAGCTAACTAGCTTACTGGCTAAGTATATAGAGGAGGTAATCCTCTACTACTTACTAAATAATCCTAGCCTCCCTAGCCTCCTGTGTGTCCTTATTAACCTTATATATATCCTTATTAGCCTTATATATATCCTCATTAGCCTTATCTGTATCTATTATTGCTGCTGCCATCACCAGGGGCTTAAGAAGATTATAGAGGGATATAGCTAGCTAAGGGAGGGCCTTTACTATATTATTACACTCTACCTATCTTAAGATTATATACTCCTAGAATAGTATCTAGGCCTTCTATAGTATACCCTATTCTAGGTAGTGGACCTGCCCCACTGCCTAAAATAGGGTATTTAGATTATATAGGGGCTCTAGAAGCTGTTACGACACTAACGCCGCAAGGCGGATGCGACCGGCAGAATTACGGAACGACGACAACCAACCGATCCTCAACCACCAGGATGGTGAGAAGGCCACGGTTTCTAGCGCGATGGCTATACACAAATCGTGCCCTTTCCGTCGTCACCCGGTTTTACACCGTAGTGTTCGGACGACATGTCACTAAAAGGCTGAAGGCTACTAAACAAAGCATAACTCGACCGCAATCATCACGTGATCATCAGCATAGCATCGCTATGAGAAGCATAGCAGCGATCTAATACTTCAGAGCAACGCTATGAAATATCAGAGCGCGCAATATGAAATATCATAGCACCGCTATGATATGAGGAACTATATAAGGACACTCATTACCATTATATCTAGCACTCTTAGTTTAGATCCTCACGTTCAATACAAGTTATTCACTTAAGTACAAGTTCACTAGTCCAATTCGTCAGTTACTCTTTTACTATTGAGTATACGTACCCAATAGGCCTTGCTTCTATCTTTGCTGTTATTGTTCTTGTGTATCTTTGGATTGTCCTTGATCCTGCTCGGATCATTGTACCATTGAGCATACGTATACCCCGTCGGTATATCATTAGGCTACCTGGTCGGTAGGCCTTAGGCAAGTATCGGATATAGTCCAGGGACTATATCATTCCCAAAGTAGTGACTAGCAGGAACAGCAGAGACGGATCCCAGGGTAGTAACAAATTGAATGCTGTACCGAACGAATCACTTTGGGAGCATTCATTCTGTACTGAATCTATCAGCAAACATGTTGACCGTGTCAAGCAATAAGGGTAAGGCACCTACTCGCGGCCAACCCACCAATACTCTGGACTTGGATGACGATGAAGATGTCGCTCTTCTAAAGAGATAAATTTTGGAACTTAAGACCTCACTCAATCAACAAGCTAAGTACATTTGAACCAGTGTACACGACTACTTGACTTAGTTAGACGCCCAGGTTGGCGCATTGGCACCAATCAGCAGCGTCTCAGGTCCTAAGTTACCCAAGGCTAAACCATTTAATGGAACTTGATCCAGACTCCGAGGGTTCCTCACACAAATGAACATGCACCTTGATGCCAACAAAACCAGACTACCTGGATAAGCTGACAAGGTCATCTTTGTGGCTACTCATCTTCGAGGACAAGCATGGAACTGGTTTGAACCATATATCAGAGAATACTATAAGAAACAGTCGAGCGAATGGTTAAGTATCACCAGGAATATCTTTACCAGCTATGCCGGATTCAGACAATACCTTGAACAGACTTTCGGGGATATCGATGCTGAAGCCACAGCTGAAAGAAACCTGTAACGACTTCAACAGACCACTTTGGCGTTAATATACTTCTCAGAATTCTACCAAATCATATCAAATATGAACTGGAATGAGAAAGCGTATGTATCCGCAGCCATCAGTGGACTCAAGGACCATGTGCAAGACGAATTAGCACGCATGGAAAGACTGGAACGACTTGACAAACTAGCAGAGATCGCGGTCAAGATCGACAATTGATACTATGAATGAAAAATGGAAAAACAAGAAATCGATGCTTGGAGGAAAGGCCATGGATGATTCTGAGGGCAGCACCGAGCAAATGAAAAAAGAGAACGCGCGCTAGACCTGTATGGGCCAAGGCCCATGGAATTAGACGCAACACAATTAGCACTTTCCAAGGAGGAAAGAGAACGGCGACAACGCGACAAGTTGTGCTTCCATTACGGGAAACCGGGACACGTGTCAAAGGCCTGCAAACAGCAACCTAGAAGGGGTCAGCAGGAAAAACCTAAACAGCTCAGGGCGACAGCTGAATTCTGTGCCACCAGGGGAGCTTATGACATAACCAGCACTAGTACACCTCAGAGAAGGAGTAACGAGCGGCTGAGAAAATTATTTAAAGAATGCACGACACTCAGTGATAATGAAATTGAGCAGGAGCTTCAGGAGGAAGACTCCACTGAGTATAGAAGCACGAAAAGCAATTGGCCTGCTGAGAATCCTAGTATGCTCGCGGCCACCAATCATGAATCACCAACCAGCAATGAATATAGCTCAGTTAAATGGGAAGACTGTACCCCCGAAGGATATATTCGCAGATTAACAAATCTCACGAACGAAATATGTCAGATTATCAGTACTGACGGAAAAAACACCAACCACAAAGAGCCAGATCAAGAGGATTATCCCGCGATAGATTGGACCACTATTAACCAACCTATCAATCCACTTGACAAAGAGTATGGAACTCAGTGGGTGAGCCTTAATCCCAACAGGGAGCAGTCCCATGAGATTCCCAAGACACCTCAGAAATCCCCGCAAAACAATGACGAAGCAGACCAATATGCTGCGTGGCTACGCCAGCCAGACCAGAAACAATTAGCAGAACTATAAGTGCACTAACTAAATGCATGAATCCTTGAGAAAGTAAAGCAAGGAGTAAAAGGATGTACCCACTAGAACCTTAAATATTGGACTCAAGTTGAATCTTGGGAACAGCACCTTATACACTGCAGTCATTCAGTGTATTGCCAGGGTTGCAGGTAATACAGGATTAAATATCACCACGAACTCCGGAGAGTTGCATGGAAAAGATTGCCAGGACCAGTCCATACAGCATGTGACTATGATTGGTGCCTATGTAAATATTTTCGAGACCATCCAAAACACAATGAAGTACTCTGGATCACATGTTATAGCAATAATTGCAGTATCCACCATGACAACAAATACATGGCAAAATTCTGGCCAGAGATACCAAAGGTGGTTAAGGATAATAACACCTGTCCATGCTGGGAACTTGAATGCTCTTGTATTGGTTACAGGCGTCACCCTCACCACGACGCGATGCACTGGACAATCTGCTTTAAGGATCAGTGCGCAATGCACTATTAAGGAAAAATTAAAGGAGGTTACTTCCTAGAACCATGGCAGGATTAGGGGAAGCCCCACTGGGAAACAGAATACCTTGTGGCAACTAATATATAATGTGGAAGACACTTGAGACTCCATGCTCATATCCTAAATCAACTAACCCAAGTGATGGTTGATTTAGGAGCAACAGGGAACTACATGAATCCAGGATTCATGGAAAAGCTAGGACTCCTAGGAGTCACAAAAGCAGTACCTGAACTAATTGCAGGTCTGAATGGAGAGAATTTAGGAACTCTCACAATCATGACCAAGTCAGGCACTATACCAATGGTTGTGTCGGGATATTTCGAACGTCTAAACTTTGATATTGTGCCAACAGGACGGTATGATGTGGTGTTAGGGATTCCTTGGCTCAGGAATCATAACCCAGCGATTAACTGGAAGACAGGGAGTCTACAGTTTAACTGTAAATGCCCACGACAGGACCAGGAGAAAGGGGAAACTGGTACCTTACAGCACGTTAGGTTGAAAGGAAATGACGGCGACGCTAAGCAGTTAAGAGGTGAACCGATAAACGCAGCAACTGGCCAAAACGCGACAACGGCAGTGCTAGCGGCAATAAAACCATTGCAGCAAATAGCAATGATGGAGCTACCAGGATGGGCGCTGGAGCAAGATAGCAACTATGCAAATATCCTGATACCTAATGACACAAGCGAGCTTTCACAGGACGAAGTCCTTGGGAGCATAAACCCAGAGACAGGAGAGTCTTAGGTTCATGGGCCTAGATCCCACACAGCCCTGGCAGCTACTCAGACACAGGACCCGGGAACTAAGACTAATTCGGACCCAGGAATATTACCTCAGGAACACTACAGATATAGGACCCTGTTTGAACAACCAAAACAGTATGTCCTACCAGAACATGGGAAGCATGACCACAAAATCCCTCTGAAGGAAGGAACATCACCAGCCTGCAAGAAACTTTATCAACTTTCAGAGAAAGAAACGCCAATCCTCAAGGAGTACCTTGATAAAGAGCTGAGCCTAGGGAAGATACGACCATCAAAATCACCCGCAGGCCATGGTCTACTCTTTGTACCAAAAAAGGACAACAGTTTGCGACCATGCATCGACTATCGACCATTGAATGCGATCATGATCAAAGATCAATACCCACTTCCACTGATCCACGAAATCCAAGATCTAGTTCAAGGAGTGAAATGGTTCACGAAGTTAGACATCACTAATGCATATAATCATATTTAAATCGCCAAAGGAGAAGAATGGAAAACGGCTTTCAGAATGAAGTTTGGCCATTTTGAGTACTTGGTTATGCCATTCAGATTAACCAATGCACCAGCATCTTTTCAAAGATTCATCAATGAAGTACTACAGGAGTACTTGCACCTCTTCATTATTGCCTACTTAGACGATATTCTAATCTTCTCAAAAGAAAAAGAAGAACACGTGGAGTACATTAATAAAGTCTTAGAAAAGCTCCAAGAAGCAAAACTGAAACTAAAGTTAAAAAAGTGTGAATTCCATGTTCAAGAGACTGAGTTCTTAGGACACTGGATATCCACTGAAGGCATTCATATGGATCAGAATAAAGTCAAGGCGATTGTTGAATGGCCACAACCAAGGAGTGTCAAAGAAGTTTAGTAGTTTATCAGACTTGTCAATTATTATCAATGATTTGTTACTGGTTACGCAAACATTATGCACCCACTCTTTGCGCTACTCAAAAAGGCAAAAGAGTTTAAATGGGACAAGGGCTGTGAAGATGCCTTTCATAAAATAAAACAATAAATCACCAAGGCACCGATATTAGTATAACATGACCCGGAGAAGGAAACCACCATCGAAACTGACGCATCTGACTATGCGATCGGAATGAGAATGACTCAACCAGGACCCAATGGAAAACCGCAACCAGTTGCTTTCCATTTAAGAAAGTTGATCCAGGCAGAACTCAACTATGATATCCATGACAAAGAACTGCTAGCCATAGTAACAGCATTCAAAGTCTGGAGGGTATACCTGGAGGGAGCAAAGCATACTGTCATTGTGAAAACTGACTATAAGAACCTCACGTTCTTCACAACAACAAAAGAACTCACAAGGTGATAAGCTAGATGGGCTGAAATACTTTCGCAGTATGATTTCAAGATCATGCACTGTAAAGGAACAGAAAATAGACAAGCAGATGTGCTCAGTTGACGACCTGATTATGAACTTCAGGGAAAGACAGTTGAACCAGCGATATTAAAAGAATAAAAGGATGGGACACTAGTGTACAACCACCCCGCACTCGCGGCAACAATCGAGATAAGGGAGGATTTGTTGATTCAAAGAATCACAGAGGAAACAAAAAAAGATAAAATCATTCAAGAAACACTTGAAAACTTAGCGGACAATAAAAACCTCACCACAGATGAGAAAGGATTAGTATACTTAAGAAATCTCATCTATGTACCTGAGTGTATGAGAACCGAGATCATTAAGTGACACCATGACGATCCTATGCACGGATATATGGGAATAGAAAAAACAGCTAAAACCATCTTATGAAACTACTATTTCCCAAACATAAGAAGAAAAGTCTTTCACTACATCAAAGAGTGCGAAACTTGCATAAGGGATAAGCTGGCAAGGCATCAACCCTATGGGAAATTGCAGTCACTGAAAGCCCCAAAAAGACCATGGGAATGGGTCACAATCGACTTTATCAGATCATTACCAGTTTTAAAGGGATATGATTACCTTATGGTAGTCACGGACAGACTCATAAAATATATCCATTTAATCCCAGTAAACACAAATATGACAGCGTCACAACTAACCACGCTTTTCATGGGCCACGTTGTCATGAACCACGGGATGCCACGATACATCACATTAGACAGGGATAAATTATTCACGTTAAAATTCTGGGCCTCACTCACAGACTTGATGGGTATTGAATGAAGACTCACTACCGCATATCACCCACAAGCCAATGGGCAAACAGAAAGAACAAATCAAACCATTGAACAATATCTGCGACACTACGTCAACTACCAACAGGATGATTGGGTAGTGTACCTACCAATGGCATAATTCGCGTACAACAACGCAGTACACTCAACCACTAGGGAAACACCGTTCTTCGCAAACTATGGGTATAATCCCGTTTTGATGGAAGAACCACGAAACAAAGAACCAGTCTTGGAAGAAGCACAGGACATACTTATAACAGTTGATTACCTACAAACCCAACTGTCGAGGGATATTGAATTTATGAACCTATGCATGGCACTCTACTACGATAAAAAGCACAGGAGTGCTCCAGACCTTGAAAAAGGGGGGAAAGTTTACCTGCTATGCAGAAACATTAAAATAAAGAGACCAAGTTAAAAATTAGACCACCAGAAAATTGGACCCTTTATGATTGAAGAAAAACTGGGACCGGTCAACTACAAACTACAACTGCTGAAGAGCATGTCAAAAATTCATCCAGTATTTCATATCTTATTATTGGAACCAGCCCCAGAAAACGCAAAAATCGCTGAAAATGTGGAAATCGACGATGACACAGAACAGGAGTACAAAGTCAAACAAATCTTGAGTGATAAATGAGTTAGTGGAAAACCATACTACCTCGTGAAATGGAAAGGTTATGATACCTCAGAAAATACTTGGGAACCTATCGAGAACCTGATGGGTTGCCACCAACTTGTGCAGCAATATTATTCGCAGAAAGGTCAACGTTCACCCAGAAAGAAGGATCATCCATCAGCTAAGAAAAAGTAACATCGTCCACGGCGGCGAGCTGCGGGTTAGCCAAGTAAGCGGTATTACTTGCGTCCTCTCTTTGACAATCAACCAGTTATTCTCTTTTGGACCTTTCTTGTTCTTCTAATCTTTCAAGTTCTTCGACTTCCTTAAATTTATGAGCAATGAACTCGTTCGCACAGTGATGGAGGAGACGTTCTTGTTTTTATAAACACATGAGCTTGGCAAGAAGCTTCTCCTCCTCTTCCTTTATTGAATCTTGAGCCTGAACCAAACGACGCCATTCTGTGTCAGTGAAAGATGGTTTTGATTCTATACAATGAGTGCGACCCTCCTTGACACACTCGCTACAACGATCAGACTCTTCAGATTTGACACACTTCTTACCCAAACGGGCACAACGGACGCAGGGAGAAACTATTATGAAACCCTGATCTTTAATTTTTCAGGCTAAATTATTCTTTTGGATGGAGGCTTTAGAGGCCATAGTCAGCAACAACAGAGGGAAACATTGCGGGAAGCAAAAACAGGGAACTCACTAAGGGGAACGTCAGCCTTATAAGTTTTGAGGATGAAACACTAGAAGAGGGGGAGGTGATGTTACAACACTAACACCGCAAGGCGGATGCGACCGGCAGAATTACGGAATGACGACAACCAACCGATCCTCAACCACCAGGATGGTGAGAAGGCCACGGTTTCTAGCGCGATAGCTATACATAAATCATGCCCTTTCCGTCGTCACCCGGTTTTACACTGTAGTGTTCGGACGACATGTCACTAAAAGGCTGAAGGCTACTAAACGAAGCATAACTCGACCGCAATCATCACATGATCATCGGCATAGCATCGCTATGAGAAGCATAGCAGCGATCTAATACTTCAGAGCAACGCTATGAAATATCAGAGCGCGCGATATGAAATATCATAGCACCGCTATGATATAAGGAACTATATAAGGACACTCATTACCATTATATCTAGCACTCTTAGTTTAGATCCTCGCGTTCAATACAAGTTATTCACTTGAGTACAAGTTCACTAGTCCAATTCGTCAGTTACTCTTTTACTATTGAGTATACGTACCCAATAGGCCTTGCTTCTATCTTTGCTGTTATTGTTCTTGTGTATCTTTGGATTGTCCTTGATCCTGCTCGGATCATTRTACYATTGAGCATACSTATACCCCGTCGGTATATCATTAGGCTACCTGGTCGGTAGGCCTTAGGCAAGTATCGGATATAGTCCAGGGACTATATCATTCCCAAAGTAGTGACTAGCAGGAACAGCAGAGACGGATCCCAGGGTAGTGACAGAAGCACTACTTAACTATACTAGGTATATAGATTTAGACTATATACCCTATACTAGTAAGATATTAGTAGTATATAGTAGTCACTATTAGCTTAAGTAAACTATTTAGCCACATCTCATTAGGCAGTGTTGTTCATAGAGGCCTGGATAGTGAGGTATTTTATACTAATAGTATCTAGGAATATTTTAATTAGCTATATAACTATAGGCTAATAGGCAAAGAGTAAAAAATATAATACTAATATATCTTTAGTGGTGAAGAGACCTTCTTAATAAAAGATATATAGTAGATAGTATAACTTTACTATATCTATTATAAGATAATATACCTCCCCTAGCTAATTTATTAGTATTATATTTTAGGCACCTTTGCTTGTCCACTACTAGAAATTAGAGAAGCTATAATTACTATATTTAATACTCTTACTAATAGCTATTACCATTATATTAGATTAATTATTAGCTTACTAGTAGTACTTATTAAGTATTTTACTAAAGGATAAGTGGTAGAGGAGGCATATAATGCACTAGTTAAGGTAATCTATATTATTACTACCTAGGCTACCTACACTATGCACCTCCTTTACTAAGCTACTACATCCCTTCTTTATCTTAGATAGGAGCTTTATGAAATGTGTATTATAGTCTTTATATAATTATAGTAGGTGCTATAGATTAATTATCATGATCTACAGGGCAGGGATGTTATTACCTATAAGGGCCCCTTATATATTAGCCCTATTAACAGGGTTGCCTATATTATGTTATAGGCAGGTTATATACATGATTAGAGGGAGCGCCCAGAATGCATCCCTTAGTATAAGGTGGCTAAGCTAGAAAAGGCTAATAAATGCCTTAGGTTATAATAGGTGGTAGGGGGGTAGGGTTAGGAGCACTACCTAGCTAGTAAATTACTTATATTCTATAAACCAGTCTATATTACTATTATTACTACTATTATTAATGGCACCAGCGTGCTTTATACTTAAGTATAGAATAGTTAGATAGCCTAATATATTAAAAGCCCTGTTATACAATGGTATCACTATAAGAAACTAGATGTATTCTGCTTTAAGCTAGCTGACTGACTAGTGTATATATATCTAGATGGTCTTAGCTATATAGCCCTTATTATAGACTATGCAGCTAAACCACCTAGATATTAATATCTTAAAGTACTTACCCAGTGTTACGACACCAACACAGCCGCATTAGCGCAAGGCGGATGTGACAGGCAGAATCCGAAGGATTATCGAACACCAATCAATCTCGAAATGATCACCCAGCAATCCAGGGAAACACTTAATCCGGACGGATTCCTCCACGCAGAAAAATAGTTCAGTTATACACTACTACACCATATGGGCAACCATCACCACCAGTCACCCACGTGACTGATATCTGGTAAT